GGGTGAATCTGCAGAACCCAGCCCTGAGCACTTGGCGGGTGCAGACAAATGCCCCCGCTGGCACCGTGTTGGGGACCACGGCTATAATGAACACTTGCATAACACCAATAAGTAAGGGCAACAAAAACGATTAAGGGTTTAGAATGGGTACCATATAAAAAGAGATTTAAAAGACTGGGATTTTTCAGTTTAGAAAGGAGGAGACTAAAGGGGAGATATGATAGAGGTCTATAAAATCATGACTTGAGTAAAAAAAGTGAATAAAGAAAAATTATTTACTTGTCCCCATAATGTAAGAACTAGGGGAGTCACCAAATGAAATTAATAGGTAGCAGGTTTAAAACAAACAAAAGGAAGTTTTTCTTCATTCAGCACACAGTCAACCTGTGGAACTCCTTGCCAGAGGATGTTGTGAAGACCAGGACTTTAACAGGGTTCAAAAAAGAACTAGATACATTATTGGAGGTTAGGTCCATCAATGCCTATTAACCGGATTGGTAGGAATGGTGTCCCTAGCCTCTGTTTGTCAGAGCCTGGAAATGGATGACAGGAGAGGGATCATTTGATGATTACCTGTTCTGTTCATTCCTTCTGGGGCACTGGTCACTGTTGGAAGATAGGATACTGGGCTAGATGGATCTTTGTTCTGACCCAGTATGGCCATTCTTATGTTCTTACATTAATTCTTAGAAAATACTCCCAATTAAGGATAGCGAGGTGCGTCTTTAACAATAGCAGTAGATTAAAGGTTTTTCATCTGGCTTTTTTTAGCATCCTTATTGGTAAGTTACATTTAAAAAGAAAGAAGAACCAATTGTAATCTCAATAACAGCTAAACTTGAACATCTGTAATGAACCCTACTTCCCTCTACCCTCCAAAGAAATCAACGGCAAAAGGCTTTTATTGTTGGAATTTTGCTAGAATCTTTGCTACTGATATTTTGCCACTGGATGACTATACCATAAACAATTTATTTTTATTTTTGGATTACCCATTTTTCTGTTTTATCATAATTTCCATTAGTCAAGGTCAAGATGTAAACATTTAATGTGAATTTTTAACATGCTAACTTTTCTAAAAGCGTTCACATCCTTGTAGTTGTTTTGTCCCTTTATAAAACTAGGGAATGTTTACAAAATTCATCTGTGAATGGGGTTGATTTTGAACTCTGTCCCTCCCAAGTCTTGAGGAAGTCATGGAATGGGTCTGAACAATAAGGTAATTTGAAATATCAATGTTGTTACTAACATGCTGAAATACCTTTTCTCCTGAAACCCTCTTTGCACCTTTTCCTGTTCTTTTTTCTGTGCCTATTTCCAGGTCACCTCTTGTGGTTGGAATTTCCTACCCCTCCTTGTACCAGTCTAATGCCCTCTCCCATTAAAATATTTTCTTTACAATAAAGCCATGGGGCTTTCAGGAGGAAGTACTGAAAGAAGTATGACATTGTACTGCTATTCTGCAGCCGTAGCATCATCCGATACATACAATTCTAACCAGTGAAGATAGAATTTTGTAATATCCAGTTATGACTATTCGAAACAGCTTCATTTTTCAATAGCAACTAGTGTTAGACCAAACCAAAACGCCACCAAATTTAGAATACAGATTAAAATAAGGCCACGAGACAAGCAAATGTGTAAAGCTCCAGCCTATATATAGTATAACTGTCTGAACTATATTGTCCGTGTGTGATTTCATACCCTGATCCCACAGGCAGCTCTTTGTGGGTAGAGAGTTCCACTTTTGCAGAGCTGTTTGCCAGGACCAGAGCCAAAGATAGGAGACTATAGCTACGCATCTCATTAGCACTACAGGGCGAATGGTTATTAAATACTATCAGACTTACCTGGCATTGCTTGGGTCCCCTAGGGCAGAGCCTTGAGGATGTTTGGGGGGGGGGGGAAGGGGTGCAGGAGGCTAGGGACGGAGCATGTTCTCTCCCTGCACCGTCCCTGCCCCAGGGCCTGTTCTCTTCCCTCCTCCCCACTCCAGCCATCAGGGGCCTCGTCTCTCCCTCTCTCTGGCACTGCAGCCAAGGGCCGTGAGGGGAGGGAAAGGGTTTGGGGCAGGTGGGCTAGTTACCTGCTGTGCTGTCAGGCAAAATGGCAGAGGCCCAGCCCTGCTGGCCACTCCCTTGGTAGTGCAGCTGCCCCCAGTGGACACTCTGCATATAGCTCTCCCTTGCGAGCCTGCTGCCCCCAGTGGCCACTACGTTGCATCACATTCCTCAGAGGAGCGGCCCCTTCCTTTGCATGTTATGGAAAACTGTCCTTTTCCCAGGGCTTCCAGTTCTCCTAGCACAAACAAACCCCAACCTTGCTTTAAGTTAGGAGAAGAGGAAGCTGCATGCCAAATTTGGTGGTCCCAGCTCTTACCGTTTAGGGGAAGTTCTTATTCAAGCAGACTCGCAGACAGACAAATGGATAGACAGGAGGGCTGTGTCTAGACTGGCATGATTTTGCGGAAATACTTTTAACGGAAAAGTTTTTATTTAAATCGCCGCTTCATTTTCCTATGCTGGGTAGTCTAATCTACATGCCTCTGTCGCCAGAGACTAAACCATCTTGTTAGTCTTTAAAGTGCTACATAGTCCTATATTTAAAAGAGTTTGTCCTGTGGGATGACAGAGTGACCTCATACGACATGTTGTGTTGCTACGCCCCCAACTCCAAGCCCAGAATACATCCCCAACGCAGAAATGACCTCTCCCCACCTACTAGCTGCAGCCTCTCCAGGCCCATGTGAAGGGGGGAGAGTGGTGGCTGGGGGGTGGCAAGAAAGAGCTAAGGTGGGCTTGGAGGCACAGAAGGGGCAAGAAAGGGCCAGGGTAGCAGCACCTACTAGCTGCAGCCTCTCCAGGCCCATGTGAAGGGGGGAGAGTGGTGGCTGGGGGGTGGCAAGAAAGAGCTAAGGTGGGCTTGGAGGCACAGAAGGGGCAAGAAAGGGCCAGGGTAGCAGAACGGGAGGGGAGGAGAAAAAGCTGGGGGGAGGCAGGAGCATGCTGGAGGGGCCAGAAAGAGTTGGGGGCAGGCTCTCCACAGCAGCCCAGGGAGGCCAGAGCTCTGTGGCCTTCCCCTTCCTCTCTCTCCAGTGTTCGGAGGGGGAAGAGCCCTGCAGACTTCCCCCTCCCTGGTGCTCAGCATGGCCTCCCCCTCTTGGGTGCTCGGGGGGGAGAGCCTTGTGGCCCCCTCCCTGCCCCATCCCCAGTGCTCTGGGGGAGTGAGCAGGAGCTACACAGCCTCCCCCCTCTCCAGTGCTCATGCCAGAGGAGGGCAGAGCCACGCGGCCTTCTCTTTACCTGGTACTTCGTGGGGAGGGGCGGGAGCTGCCTGGCCTTTCTCCCACCCCAGTGCTCTGAGGAGGTGGGTTGGCAAGTGTAGTGAGCAGGGGGTGCCGCTTCCTAGTAATATTAATAATTGTAGATGGGCATCGGCGTTGGCATCCTCTTCTCCTAATAAAGTGCCTTGAGAGATCATTCACCACAAGTGCCCATGGCTGAGATTTTACAAAGTTCCTAAATGACAGAACCTTTAGTACCATACTGCTCCATCTCCATCATGGGGCACCAAACTTGGTCAGAATAAACAATGCCCCCAGTAATATACACCACGGCTCTGCATGTGCTTGGAGACCTGCTATCCAATTGCTGAGCACTACCCAACCCTCTGTACCTATGACAGTTGATTAGTCCCAGCATCTCTCTGATTTCTCAAAGATAGCCTGGCTGCAAGCAGCAGATGTGACCTGTTAACACCATTTCCTGTCTGTGTGCAAGGTGTAATTGACCTCAGTCAGCCTGTACTTCCAGATCATGCTCACTAGCTCCTTCAAAGAGTCTCAGGATGGGGAGGTTACCCTCTATCACTGAAAGTGTGATGAACTATCTCTAAGCAGAGGAGATACAGCTTACTGCAGAGCCTGCTGAGGTCTTGTTCATAGCAGCCAGCTGGTAGCACATCCTCCCTCTGCAGGAAACAGTCAATTGGTAACACCAAAGATCAGCTAGTCTTACCTTGCAGTTAAGCGTAGAATTGATAGAAGGGTGTATGTGTATCTCTGAGATCTTTGGTCACAGGTTCCAACCGCAACAACAAGCTCTATGTTAAAGCTACATCCTGCTCCTATTGAAGTCCACAGTAATTTTGTCCTCAGTGTATATCCATAATTGGTTGGTTAAACAATCCTGAGAGATGTCAGCCCAATATGCAGAGGACTTAAAAGAGACCTATCGTTCTTTTGTGGGTGGTGAGTATTGACTTGCTCAGAGGGATTGGTTCCACTTTGAAATTATGCCTAGGAGATTAATGACTGCCTCAGAAGAGCTATTTTCCTCTCAAGATCCAGCTTAACCTCTCTAGCTGCAGAACCCAAGTGGCTACCGAGAATATTCTTAATAGAAAATAGCAAGCAATCCCATAACAGGCAGG